ATATGCGATCTCTCATTGTTGAGGTGGACTCTCCGGTGACTTTTCAACTTTTGTCGAAGGCCCCAACTAACCATCCTCTGTCTTCTTTGATTTTGGATTGAAGGGAAATCATGGCCAAAATTCTTTGTATTCATCTACAATATGGTTTTTTTTTTTTATTAGGACAAGTGATTTCGGGGGTAGGAGATCAAACCCTTGCCATGATAAAAAATGCTTACATTAAATTGCTAGATTACTAGGCCAGCAAATCTTCTTCATCAACAATACGGTTTTAGAGAGGCCAACATATGTGCCAATTATATTGCTTGTATGACATATTCCCTTCATATGCTAATTATGCTTTAATTATTTTGATGTTTAACCTCTTGGGCTTATTTTGTGTCTCAATGAAGATATGGGAGATTGTATATTCCCTAAAAATTAATATGTTATATTTTTTTAGCAATATTTTAAATCTCCTATTTCCACCATACAAAAGATAGATATATATATATATAACAATAATTAAGTGAAATCCAAGCATGCTGGAGTTTAACGTCACTCATTTGTTTGTAGCGCAACGTAAAAACATATAGAAAATTAAAAGAAGAAAGGTATAATTCTTTGTGCCCTTACCAAGAAAAGCTTAGGTGTGGCTAAATCCACATAGGATTTGCATGAATACACCGATTCCTGCGTGGATTTGGGCGTGGCAGCAATAAATAATCCACCATATATTTATGGTATCTTTTTGTCATGAGTCATGACAAACAAGGAATATCTTTGTCATTAATAATAGGAAATACTAGCAACTGAGGCTTCTCCTTGGGTAAACTTGATATAAAGATATAAACATTGGATTTGGTTTAATCAAAATTAATGAAATTATTAGATACTGAGAGGTTAATAAAAAAATATATAAGCATTGATTTTAAGTTTTTGCCGCAAGTTATAGGATGAACAAATGTTTACGTTTGAGAAAATGTTTTTTTGGTATGCTAATATGCATTTATTTATATTTGTATTTATTTATTTATTTTATGTATTTTTACAATATTAAAAAAATTAAAAAATGTATAATTATAGTTACATGTTAGAATTACCAAACTAAATCAAAGAATATTTTTGTCATTACAATAGGGTCAAAATACAAGCCACAACTTGATAAGAAGACTTTGGTATTGAAGTATCATAATTTTAAAAGTGTGAATTGTATTTTAAAAGTTTGTGATTTATTGTCTACTTGTGTTAAATTATAAGATAAAAATTAGAGGAGTGTTAGGAGCACTCGCCTCTTGCACTCTCCGGCTAACACTTCCCCTTTCATTGGGCCACGTAGGCTTGTTTTAGCTTTTGAAGTGAACCTCTTCGGAACTAGAATAACGTGGCCCAATAAAATTGAAAGTGTTGGCCGGAGAGTGCAGAAGGCGAGTGCCCCTAGCACTGCTCTAAAAATTATTAGTTGAAAAATCAAAAAAGGCTCATCTTATTTAATAATTTAAAACTTAATACACTTCAAATTATACAAGGTTTTTTTTATACTTTAATACTACAAATAATAAACGACTTCCTTGCCTGACAAATTAAAAAATTAATAAAAAAATAATTTAAAGATAATTTTATATTAATTTTTTTATGATTTTAAATATTATTTAATAATTAATTATTTTAACTTATTAAAATACATGACATTATTTTTTTTTAACTTTTTAACATGGGACGGGTTCAAAATCCATTTAAAAAAAATGCATTTTTTAATAATTAATGTTATTGAACCTCTAGAGTCAAGTGCAAATACATAATATTATATATATTTAATAATACATAAAAATTACATAAAAAAAACTATTCCCATATTATTATTATTTTAATAGTATCATGTCCGAAATGGATGGTGCATGCTAAGCCATAATTTCTTTTCTCATTTTTATGAAAAGAAACAAAAAAAAAAAAAGAAAGAAAAAGAAAAAAAAGAAGAAGGGTAAAACCAAAGAAAGAAAGAAGAAGACACAGGCGAAAAAACGACAGGGTAACCATGCAAATAGGGATTCCAGAGTTTGAGAAAATCATCGCCATAATCTTCTACTTAACAGTAATTAATTAACCCTAATCTAATTAAAACTCCTATATTTTCAGATCTAATTAAAACTCCAACACAATTTTTTTTTTTTTTCCTTTTGTTGGTGGATCCAACTCCCACTCTACGGGCCGCCGCGAAACGCCGCCATCGTTGGCAATGAGATATCTTCGGTTTCTCAAAATTCGTCCAAATCCAAATTATTTTCTTGCTTCCCCTTTTTCTCCCAGATTCTCTGGATATCCAAAAAGCTTAGTTATTTTTTAATCCCATTTTTTTAAAAATAAAATTTTTAAGCTTTTCTGCATTTCTCTCGCTTTATAAGTCGGTTCTTGTTGCACCTCCGGCATCCCTGTTCCTCCCCATCTCTTCTCCTCCTCCTCCAAATTTCAATGCCCAGATTCTTTTTTTGGCGGTAATTTCAATACCCAGATTAAAAATCGTTTCTTTTGAGTAGGGTTTTCTTTTTTCCCAACTTTTCTTTATTTAATTTGGGAGCCATCATTATTGCTTTTTAGGACTGTTTCTGATTCCTTTTAGCTTCTTAGCGGTAGAATTCATCTGGGGTTTTGCATCGCCGGTGGAATGTGAAGACCGTTATGTTAAAGAAGCAGAAGAGTCAAATTTGTTTTTACCTAAACAGAGCTTTGATGGCTTACTTAACCCGTTATGATCATCCATTTATCAAGCAATTCCATGCTTTGCCACAGTCGCAGTCTACAGCCGCCTGCCACCCTCGTTCCCAATTTCTCGGCTTAATTAATTGTGCCGATAATTGCAATAGCGGTCTTAAGTGTAACAGAGTTTCTGGTTTAACGTTAACTCTGAAGGGTTGTTTTGATGATTCCCGCAGTTCATGTGAACGGAGACCTCGAGTATTTGTTCCGCAATCGGCGCGTAATTTGGAGGTTATTAGCCTTGGTGAGGCGGCGAAGGATACTAAACTAGAGAAGGATCCTACACTATCTGCTAATGGACGGGGCACATGCGGAAGAGGAAGTCCTCTTGGATTCCTCGACCGTTCAGACAAAATAGCGGTTGCTGTTGATGTCGACGAAGGTTTGCAGTCCTACGTATTAGATTTTATTACTTTTTGGGTTAAATGTGCCTGCTTGAATTTTTTTTTTTCTTTTAATATGTCTTCTAGAAGTGCTGATGCATGGTTCAGTAAGATGTTACCTGGTCAATGTTTGTGCTGTCCTTAGATCATAAATTCATAACCCTTTCTGGTGTCTGGTTTTCAAACGTATGATTCTGTAGCAAAGTGTTTTAATGTATTTACTAGTCAAGTATTGGTTAGAGGAATATTATGCTCAACTTGTGTGCTGACTTTTGAAGCAATTGGTTAATGGCATCGCTCCATATTTATTTTAGTTTGGTTCTTCTTCTTCTAATGCATTTATTTGTTTTTCCCTACTTGGTCGCATGCAGTTCTGGGGAACTTTTTGTCTGCCTTGAACAGATTTATTGCAGATCGTTATTCATTAAACCACTCTGTCTCAGAGTACTACGTCTATGAATTCTTCAAGGTATGTCCTATTGCTCTTGATGGGTTTCTGTTTTCGTGGGTGGTATGAGGCAATTAGACTAGGCATGATACTCTTCTAAAAGACAAGTGGAAAGAGGATCATTGGCTCCCTTGATGGGTTTTCTGTTTGCAGTTTGAGAATGGTCATTGACTTTCTATATCTTCCTATTGGCGTTCTGTATCTCTTTGTTGATCTGGTGCCTAGTTGTGACTTGCATTATTGCATATCTGAGTCTGAGGTGATTCAATTCACATTTACGGAGCATTAGATTTTAGCATTTTGTTGAAATCACTTTTGCAAGAACACTCAAAGCCATCTGCCCCACAACTTAAGCAGGAAACTGATTCTGGAATTATTTTTGTACCTTGGGTTACTTCTGTTTCCAGGTTGTATGAATGAACTTCATAAGTTTCTTTGTATTGAGTCTGCAGTTATTTTGCTGGTATTGCCTGTGTAATTTATGGATTTATATAATCAATTTTTTTGGGTACATGTGATAATGATGGGTTATATAAGAGGGGATAGCCCTTCCCTTTTCCTAAATCCCTCCCCACCCGACTCAAGGTTCAAACTTGAGAACTCCAACTTGGAATCTCAAGCTCTTAACCATTGAACCACCCCCTTGGGGGTTGGATTTATATAATCAATTAATGTTAAAGAAAAGGTGTAAAAGTCTTTTATATGCATTCTAATGCTTCTTTACTTCTGTGGCAGATATGGAATTGCTCTCGTAATGAAGGTATTGCTAAATCTATTTATTTCTTTGCAGCTAATTTGTCAGATCTGATGCAAAAATGATTCATTGTTAAAATATTTGAATAGAGTGTATTCTGATGGTAACAAGTTCTCTTTTGGTTTTAGTGAGTGCATAAGAATTTACTAGTCTAATTGGAGTGTATACAGTTCTGTATTCCCATTGTAAACAAGTAGATTAAAAATTGATTGAGTATTGATAAGAAGTATTGGTTGGAAAATTATTTATTTGATTTACATTTGAAAATGTAAACAGGAAACTAGAAAGTCCTTTCCTTCCAATTCCTAGATGCTCCTAATTCCCCCTTGTGTTTTGTAGATGAATTTTTTGTGTTTCTGTAGATTTTAACTTCAGTATGATCAAGATGGAAGTATCTTGCTTTGACGTTGTGGTTGTTTGACATTGTAAATAATCTCATTGATATGGCCCTTGAAATACAACACTAAATAATTTATCTCATAATAAAATTTTCATCATAAGATCTTCCTTTGATTTTGTTTTGACCAATCTATTGCTTTAAAATTTACTTGGCTTTCCTGTTGTGACAGCTGATATTCGTGTCCATGAGTTCTTTAAGACACCATATTTCAAGAAAGGAATCCAACCTATCCCAGGTGCTCGGGAGGCACTTCTTAATTTATCGAGATTTTGTAACCTATCAGTCGTAACGTACGTATGCGTAATTTTCTTCATTCATGAAGTATTAACATTTAACCTTTTAGCATTAAGCCAATTGTATGTGTGTGGATAGGTCTCGTCAGAATGTAATCAAGGATCATACAATTGCGTGGATAGAGAAGCATTACCCACGACTGTTCCAGGAGATTCACTTTGGGAACCATTTTGCCCTAGATGGCCGGTCCAGACCAAAGTCAGAAATATGCAGGTAGGCCAATGAACTCCTTGCCACTACATAGAATAATGGCAAGAAAAAATATTGCCTTTGTTCATCCATGAAACCCCTGACTTTGTTGCCTTTCCAACTTTAAAATTGATAGTACTTTGGCGTTCCTTCTTTTTATCTTAATAGTGTAACACACCTGCCTTTTTGATTTGTGAGCATTGCCTTGGAAATGAGCCCAACTGATTAACTTATGAAGTTCACTCCATACGTGTTTTGCTTTATGCCTTGTTTTTGGCAGATCATTAGGAGCAAAGGTTTTAATTGATGATAATCCACGATATGCCATTGAGTGTGCTGAAGTTGGAATTAGGGTTCTGCTTTTTGATTATCAGAACTCATATCCATGGTCCAAGATGGAGACAATCAATCAACATCCCCTGGTGACTAAAGTTTGTAATTGGGATGAAGTGCAGCAGCATATAGTTTCTTGGATCATCTCATAGTTGCTCGATCCTGTAACGTGCAATGAATATAGACCACCACTTCATCAGTATGCTATAACAGATTATTTTACGCCTAGAACATTTGAAAGTGATGAAAAGGTAAGCTTAGTTGTAATGGTGGTTTCTGGTGACGAGCAATAGAGAGACTGCCAGACCAGCCAAGCTTGGTCCTGTTAGAGAATTACTAGAAGCATTGTTAGGATCACTATATTTCATTTCTTTAAGAAATTTTCCTCTTTGAGCAAAACAATGGCTTTACGTTGCCGAATGCGATGGAGAAGCCTTGTAAATATGAAATTCATTGCTTGGGTTCTAATCATGATTATTTTGCTCCAAAATGCATTCTTTGTGACAGTTCAGCATTATTTTCCCCAAGGAAGCTGCTGCCTACTTATCAAGGCATAATTTCAGGCAAATTTTACTCAGTCAGGCTTAACCTGTTACATAATTTCAATGTCACTTTTAGGGTCATTTAAGGCATGGTTATTTGCAGAATACAGTTCCACTGTGTTTGCCTGTAACACAATAAAAAGACAATATAATGGAGATTTATTCACTGGAGTTCCAGGACAATTTCCATTTACAAAGCCCTTCCATTGTGGAGAAATTTTCCCACTTATTAAATGTCCAGACATTAACTGATATTTTATTTCTTGACAATCCTTCTAATCAATCTCATGGGAATAAAAGAACCACCCTGATGCCAAACTGGTTTCAACATTTTTAAACTTGAAGAAAGCTGCATCTTTACTAGAAAGAATTGAGGAAAACTTTCGAGGAGTTGTGGTGGTTTGGTTACCTACTCTTCTCCATCAATTTGATGCCATAGGCTTGCAGAATTTCCAATCCTGCAAACAACACAGGTTTAGTTTATCATTTTTCAAGTTGGATAGGAAATGTAGCCAAAACTGCGAAGACAGCTGTGGTTACCTGGCTCATATACTTCAGGTTCAATGGGTCTCAGCACGCCTCTGCTCTTGATTTTGTTTGTAAGCAAAAGCTGCAATCATGAAGATCAACAGAATTACAGAATAAAAATAGAGGATTTTGCAGATAACGAGAGGTAAGAGCGTAAATGTAGGGCAAGTACCAGAGCTCCAATGGCTGCTGGAACACCGACTGTTATGGCCATAGCAGATACCATTTTCCCATTCTTAGTTCTCCCAAATTCCAATAATGTGGCCGTATGGTTCTCTGTACATTTGCTCTCTGGAAACTCTATCTCTATTTCATCATGCAGCAACACCATATCCTGAAGATTGAAGTTGCAGAATAAATAAAATTACTAACTTATAAGACTTTCCCTATCTGAAGGAGTGAAATAAGTGTTAAAGAAATACCTCTTCTGTGTCAGAGTATGATAACCTTTCTTCCATGCAGTGACAGGTAAGAGCAAATGCATTTTGACAGGAAGCAGGAACTTCAGTCTGGTCGAGAAGTCCCAAAAATCTAATGGACATGAAGGTGAAAATCTTAGAAACTTAACATATGGATCGAGTCAGGCATTTGTTGAGTGAAAAAGAATAGATCAATTGCAACATGGTGGCTTTCTTGACAACATAATGTTAATGTTACTTACAAGATAGTTTTGGCAGCCTTTGTTGCAGTTCCCAGCTCCTTGCAGTGTCCAAGTTCTAAAATTCTTTGAGCTATTTCCTCCTCTCCAATTGGACCTCCATTTCTAGCTTCACTATCAATCTTGAGAAGATCAGAGAGGAAATATCTGAATGTGGGTCTAATTTCATGTTCAAGAACAGGATGAGCCTCACTATTGAAAAGACCAATTTTTGTAAGTGTCCCCATTATCTCGCTAAATCCTGTACAACAAAGCAAAACAATCCAGGTTTTAGCACTGAGAGTTAAAACAAAATACAAAAGCCAGAGCCATGACATGCCTTCATATCGAAGAGTCCCACGAAATATGGTTGATGCTTCATCTTCTATTCCATAAACTTTCCCATAAACTAAGGAATTACGATTAGGAAAACACTCCAATGCAAATGCTGGAAGATCAGTTATCCGGAATTTCACAGCTGAATCATAGAGATCTTCTCCTAAAAAATTGTACAACTATGTCAAACACAGTGCAGAAACATCTGTAAAAACCTGTCAAAGAGACGAGGGTTTCTATGGTACTCATTAATATAGCAGAAAACCACGATCTGATTAATTTCTTGGATTCATTTCTTTTTCTTGGCTTTTCATAGCTTACCTTTTATATCTATGGTTTCACCATGAGATCTGTAGGTGGCAGGATTGCACCCCACTTTGATGGCTCCTGCTGGATTCCAACTGAAAATTTTATGACAGGGTAGGTAATTACTGCCAATCTGCCACAGGTCTAAAAGCTCATGCAATAGAAATAGCCTCAAATCAATTTGTCTGAACTGTGTCCAAGCATGCCTTCTTTTTCTAACTCTCTTCTTCACTTAGATTGCTAATTCTATAACTATTCTCCTTTTCCATCTTTTATAAAAAAATTAATAAAAGAAGCTATGAAACTGTTGATTTCTTAAAGGTACCTGAACTTGTAAGCTAATGGGTTATTGGCAGCTGCAGGAGATGGCAATCCGCCACAGTAAGAAGTGAAAGACTTGACTTTGCCATGGCGGGCATGTGCTTCATTGATAATCTTCATTGCCATCATATGATCTGAAAAGCATTCACTCTGCCTCATCAAACTCACAATAAAAGTTTAGCAACTGAACCAGCTACTTTTACCTTCTGATTTTCAATTCAGTCATCAGACAAAGTACCCTGTATATAAACTAACAAATTTTCTTTACCAGGTTCATCAGAACAAGTTCATATATATCAGTTACTAATTTGTAGGGTTAAGTTTTAGATTTACCTATTCCAGGGTCCAAACCCATCTCTCCAAGAATTGTAATGCCAGCACTCTTGGCCTTCTCATCCAGCATTGACAGGGAATCATCAACATAGCTTGCAGTAACTAGATGTTTCTTAAGCTGCATAAAGAGATGTAATCATTTTGCATGCTAACATTAATGGGAAAAAAAAAAAAAGGAAGAAGAAGAAATCAATAACACATCGTATATATCAGAGTGATTTGACTTCAAAGTATAGGTACCTCAATACAAGTATTTGCCACAATAAGGTGGAAACTAGCAGGCAATAAACTCACAACAACCTCAACCTGCAAATAGGCCCCCAAAAGTTATGTCGGATGCAAGGGTCTTAGCGATTAGTTACGGTTATCGAAGAGCATAGAGAGTATCGAGACGGTGTTTGGATTGCAACTTTAGTTTTCAGTTCGAAAATATTCTTTAGAAAAGACTTTACCTCTGAAATGTACTTATAAAGATTTTCATGATCCTTCACATCAAGCTGAACAGCTGTTGTATTTGGAATTCCTTCAACAATCTGCATCAGATCAATCAGTATAGGAAGAATGAGAATTTTGCAAAAACACAGCCACACCCAAAAGGGTTTAATTGATGTACCTCCTCGGCATCCTTGAGAAAGAGAGAAGCAACAATAACATGGACATGATCGATCTGCTCCTCAGAATCAGTTTGCACTAATGTTTTATACCATTGTCGAGAAGAAATGCTTCCAATTGATGCTAACAACGCAGCAGCTGGTTGACAGACCCGCCCTGCCCCAAGAATGAGAACTTTCTTTATTTCCATGTTATTTCCTACCTTATCCTCACTTCTCTCCTGTAGCCTACCAATCCTAAAAGAAATCTTGTTCAACCTTCCACTCAAAGTTCCGTGATTTTCACTTGGGTGAGCAATAGAACTCAAAGAATCAATAATTTGATCAAGAACTGCCTGATCATCAGCACCAACCTATCCAAAACAGTGTGTTAAGATCATTATATATTCATGATGGAGTTAATCATATAACTCAAAAGGGATGTAGAAGGTATGAGAATACACTCCATTGACGCTTTCCCTCGTACCAATGGATTAGATATGGACCATGGATTTAGTTTAAAGGTAGCTTACACGGATAGGTCATTGAAAAGTGAGAAAGCATTATTGGAATAGGTGATCTACCTCAAGTTCCGAGTATGACATAGCACTAGTGCTCTGGCCCACTTGGCACTTTACTAAGTGAAAGGAGCCACCTGCAGCCTCAATAATATCCAAGGCCTCATTTATAAGAAATTTATCAAACAAGTGACCACTCAAAGATACCTGCCAAAATGATTAGGATAATCAGTATACAACTAGCCATAACTGCTTGTAAAGTATGCAAATCTGTAGTTACTACACAAGAATGTATTGATACATGCAGAAGTACAGAAACCTACCAATATATTGTATTTCCTTTTGTGAGAGTGACCACTGGCAAGGTTGTCTGATGTATCTCTGCAAATCAGGCAACAAAATTCATTGTTTTTATGTAAGACAGGCAAGACATGGCAATGTTCACTAGGCAAGCAATTAAACATGATACTAGTAAGATGGAAGATGGGTATAGAAGTTTACTCAATATCAGAGTTTCGCATGCGTGGAATATATTCATATAAGGGGGTAAGTGAACCTCCATGGGCTATGCAAGCTCTCTTCAGGTGTGCAGGTAGCTTTGTAAAGTCTGTTGTGGATGCCAAAGTGCTGATAAACTGGGACAGAATGTCTCCAAAGTGCTGAGAAGCCTTTCCACATTGAAGATAATTGGTTAGATGCCATTGTTAAAATAAATCAGATAGTTTCTGTCCAAACATTTTCCTAACTATTGTACATGTGTAAACATTATATCTAGAAATTTTATTAGATAAATGATGGTTGACAATATTAAGCACCTCTTTTGCAAACTCCGTTGGAAGGATATCAACAGCTAAACAAATCACACCATTACCCTCCATTCCCTGATGGTATGAATTACTTTCAGGATCATATCTGAAATCATGAATGTATATCATCAGCCCATACAAGCTGAAACAATAACAAAATTATATAGTAAAAGAAAAGGTAAAGATAACAGTGGCTGTTGAAACATTACAAAGATCCCTTGAGGTAGGAAAAGGGAAGATGAAGAAACTAGAGAAATGGTAAAAAATTAATAACATGATGCATTTTTTAAGGGAAAATGTTAATTAAGTACCTTAAGAAAGGTGAGTCAATAGTGGTGCTTTGGTTGACAAACTCAAACGAACCTCCTACATCACAAGTTATATCAGAGATCCCAACAAGTGGGCATCCTTTCCTCATTAAATCTTGAAGCTGCTGGCTAGTCAACAATCGCGGAAATCTTCCTTCCCAATACATGCAGTTAACTGCAACAAAATAGATTTGATGATGAAGATTAAGAAAAAGGAAAAAATTGAATAGAAGAGCATCAAGAAAGGAGAGGCTCAAGCTTTAGCTTAATAAATAATCCTTTTCAAACTAAGCCACTTATCCACATAGGATGAAACCTTCATAACTAGATAAGCTCAATTAGTTTGCAAATAAGGCATTAAGGAAAAGGAACATTGTCAGCAGAAAATCTCACATACCAATTATAGATGCATAAGGGGCAATTTTTTCATGGAAAATGGGGTTGTAATGTTCTGGATGTGAATAGTAATCTTCCTGTAAATAAGAGGAGGGAAAGAATAGAACATGTTCAGAATTAGCGTGTTTTACTCAAGCAGAATCCTCAAAGAACTAGAAGATGTAAGTTTCAACACTTTAAAAATTGAAGACATCCCTATGACATCAAACTTTGTTAAGACTGCGAACCATATAACAAATGCATGTCTAGCCATTAGTTAGATAAATGAATTGTAGAAGACCTCAGCACATGATTACTGACCAAAAACAAGAATAGAGTTACACAAGAAGTCACTAGATAAGGAATCCAAACCTAAAACAGGGCATAGGGCATACCTTATCAAATGGTTTAGTAGGATCCTTGTGTTCAACCATGTCCTTACTAGTCACCACACAACCATAAAGTTTAAAGACTCTCTTCGGTTTCCCTGCCACTTTGGTAAGATCCTTTTCCTATGAAAAATTAAAAACTTAAAATCAGATTGGTACAAAAGAAGTTTAGTAAATGTATATCATCAATGGAAATTAAAAATGAAAATGGGGTATAATGGGAACTAACCTTTTCAAACAACTGAGGAAGTTCGCTTGGTTCAACAAAAGTGTGGGGAAGAAGCTTAAAAATCTCTTGTGCACCGTGAGAAACTGAAAATAAGATGGGGGGAGAAGTTCAAATGTCAGTACATGACATGTTAGGAGTGAATTGAGCAGAGAATAGATTGCAAAATAGCGATACCATTTCCCGAACCAGTGAACACAAAGACTACAGGACAAATTCCTGAAGGCAGCCCCAGTGTTGCTATTTCTTCCCCCACAGAAATCACTGCAGCCTTTGCAGCAGCCAATGAAGGATACATATAAGACGCAGCCAGCGAGAGGAAAGGTGTGGAATAACCAAGACTCAGATACCCTGAAATTTATTGAAGGAAAAAGAAGGTGATAATGTAAGAAACATAAACGGGTGACAGGTTTCCAACTCAGCAACATTAGGAAAAGGGAATTAAAAGGTTATAGAACATACTCTGTCCTAATCCACATAAGAAATCAATCAGTCCTGCTCTGCCAGCATATTGACCAAATGCAAGTAACCTTCTACCATCGTCCCCAACAATAAGCTCATAGTCATACAATGACACTCTCTCTGCCAGAATCTACATGTCCATCCATACACAAAGTTAGCAGAAGCAAAGGCATCATGAACATAAATATATCGGCAGCCTTTCTACGTTGAGACATGGATACCTTGTCTAATAGAGGCATGTTTTCTTTCTGTGCCTTGTGAGTATGTGAAAAGAAAGCATAAGCTCTATCAGGAAGAACCATATCTAGCTGCAGCAAAGCCAAAAAGAGTCATATTGCAGTTCCAATCCAAAGAAGCTTCCATTGAAACGAAGTAGGAAAAATTTCAGACAATACCTTTGGTTGTTTGATTCCGACCACAAGACCACACTCAGACAAGTCCTCTGAAATCTCACACCCAACATCCTCGTACAGTGAATCATGATGAATCCGTTTTGTGGATGGCTGAACGATGATTCGAGTCACCCCAGTTTCCTTCCCGTGTAGAAGCCGAGCACAGTGTGAAGGGGTCAAAGGTGCCCTTCTTTCCCACTTAATAACAGACTCAGAGAGGATCCCAACAACTCCATTCCCCAACATGGTGTCCTCTTCAACCCTTCACTTTTCCTATCTAAGAAAACAAAAATCAAACATTAGAACCGGAACACGCAAATCTCTTTCAAATAGAGTTGAAACAAAACTGAATCAAGAGACAAAACAAATTATCAACGTGCAAAAACAACCAATGAGTTCCAAGAATTAAGGAAGATACCATACATGTTACATGCCTCTGTAATAAAACGGACAAATCCCTGGCATTCAAGGCAGAAGATGAAAAAGAACTTACGTTCTGTTTGCTCTGATCTCTCCCCTGAGTTCCCTACTTTGTTTGCTCTGATCTCTCACCTGAGTTCCCTACTTCCTTACTCTGCTGTGATATGATACCATTGATCTGTAAACCGATGTATAAAGCGATGAAAATTAGGCTCGTGAAAAGGATGATGACGATGATGATCTGAACAAATCAACAATACTAAATAACAATGATAGAGATATGATAGCTGGTGACTAAGGAAGCGTGGGGTAGGCGTTGGCTAGCCAGTGATTGGGGGCGCCACGTATGTCCGAGTTGGAAGCGGGATGAACTAAACTTTAGATAGTGTCACTGTGAAACACGTCATCGTGGGTTTGGCACTTTGGCCGGTGGGTCACGGCTTTGATCGGCAGAAAGTTTGGTGGTTTTTTCGTGGGATGGGAATGGGGATGATAAAGAAAAGACATTAAATAATGACAGCAAAGATTTTGGTGAGGAAAGGAAGGAACAGTCAACAGAAGAAGTAACGTACGGCAACTCAAATCGGGTGATTTATTTTCATATTTTAAATGGTTAATATCATATTTTTTTAATATAATTATTTATTATATTTTTATATTATATATTTTTTAATAATTTATAATTTATAATTTTTTAATAAATTAAAAAATATAATAATTAATTTTA